GCTCTGACACTCAATGGCACTCAAGCTGTACTTCTGCTATCTGGCTTTTGTAGTGCACTGCCTGCCAGAAAAGAAATCTCCGGAAAATCACCACGAACTTTAAAGTTACAGAATTTTTTATTTCTCTTTCTCTGCTCTCCGCAGCGCTGACTGCTATGAAGAAGGAAGAAAATACTTTCCCTTGTCTACTACTAATTCTCTGAGTAATTTAGAAAGAGCATGTATTTCATGATGACATTATTTCTCTTCAAGCATGTTGCAGAATGGTAACTGATACCTGCTGCCTACTCCTGTTTTCTCTGTCTATAGTTGAAAGAGTATCTGCCCTTCCTTCTTCCAAGACCTTTGGCTTTGGTAGCTGCGTTGAACAAGCTTATATAGTAATCTCTGCTATACGTAAGTGCCAATTTGCACTAAATAACAGGATGAGTTCCTAGGCGACTTCCAAGAACTCCTCCAAGAAAGAGGTGGAAAAAACCAAGTAAAGTTATCAAAATTGCCAAACACGATTTTCTGAAAGATCCAGAAATTGGGATGGATTTGGGAAATAATTGTAAATTAAAAAGATGTTGGGGGCTGATAATGTCAAAACATTAAATTAAATTTAGGTATTTCTAAAATAAAGCATTTTATTTTGGAAATATCTAAATTTAAGCAACTACCAGGAGGAGATGCTTACCAGGAGAAGCACCTACCCAAGGCAATGCATAAATAAATGCTAGCATGCTCATTTCTTCTCTTCTATACATCAAATGACATCAATGTTTGGGGTTTTTTTTCTGCATTCCTTGATCATTTTATCTTATTTTCTTTTTGTTCACTGTGCATTTCTGTAGGCACTGGATGATCTTACTCTGTGTGAGTAAAGAGTTATGCAAAGGGAACAGAGCTTTAGTTAGTTTTATAGCTAATCTCATAATGCCCTGCATTCCTAGCAATAGTACTGACACATCAGATCAGAAAGCACAGTAAGGGAAAGGGAAGGTTGCTTGCCAAGGTTGCAAGCTCGTCACTGCTTAAATGGCCCTAATAAACAACTGAAAAAGGAATGATGGGAGTTACTGTGTTACAGTGAATCCATGTTCCTCTAGTATAAAAAAAAAATTATATGCACTTTCCTGGAAATTTTTTACACATAGTAAGGACTCAGATACCCTAACCAATCAAATGAAACAATATGCCTGAATAAACCACCACCCACGCTTCTTTTGCCAGAGAAGAGACTTTTCCAAATTCAGGCTTTCACATTGGTTGCTTTGCCAAGTTTATATTCAAAATATAGATTCTCCTAAAGAAGTGGAAGTAATAGCCTTGACAGTGTATGTTTTATCAAGCACTGCTAGCTTTAAACATGTAGGAAATTCTGTTCATTACCTTCACTGTGTCACAGTATAAACTAAGTACATACACATATATGTGTATGCACCTGAGATACACCTGAGATAGAGGCACACGGGGTGTGTAAATATACAGTTACAATTTAAAACCCTGTTCATTGGACTAACTCAGTAAGTTTTGCCGTTTTAGCATGGTATACTTGTTACATGATAACATCAATCTGTCGAACTTCACCGCGGTGAGACAGCAAGTGCTTGCTGTTTCCTCTGAGTGCCAGGGCAAAGACCTGAATGCCACCTGCCACCGTGCTTTACAAAACCTGCAGTGGCTTGGCCTGTGGCAAATACATTTATGATCAGCAAAACCAGCACTGCCGTTCATTTTCTTGTCTATTGGTGAGCTACTAAAGTTCACTCTATTGGTTTGCTTAGATGTTTATGTTCTTCAGTGTACACAAAATGATAGAGAAAGAAAGAGAAGGAATCAGATGGCTTTTTTATTGAGATTAAAAGAAAAGATTTTTTTGTCCAAGATATATCGGAATAACAGCCTTTTCCACGTGCTTAAAGAGAATGAAAAAATGACATAATATTTTTAATTTAAGGATCACCATCTAGATTTGCGTAAATTCCTCAGAAGTTTATGTGAAATACAAGAAAGAAAACACTAAGCTTACAGTGTTCAGTGTACATGGAAAATTATTTTTAACTTATCCTCCCATGAATACTAGCTACAGAGACTTGATTGCTTAGCAAGCGGTGTAGTTAAGCCATCTGAGGATAGAAGCAATCCTGCATGACCTTTATGTGACCAAACTCAACTAAGCAGCACACCTTTAATACTGGATTGAAAGCACACTAACAAGTACAGAAGCAGAATTTGAATATTGTCCTGCTTATCCATTATTTTTGAATTCTTCAGAAGTAAAAAGAAAACCAACTTTCATTCTGAAAATCACAGAAGTTTTTTTTTACATATGCTCCTTACTCCTACCTGAATGTACTTGTCTCAATACTTTCAGTCTCCTGAACAGCAACTGCTAATAGTGCAATCTGAAAAACGCAGTTAAAAAGAGACCCAGGATCTCCCCATTATATTGACCGTAATTGCAGGATTCCCTATTATTACAATGTTCTAGCCCATCTCCTATTATTATAGTGCTATTCAGTACAACCACCAACTCAGGAAGAAGAAAACCGTGATACTCTGAACACACTCTTTGACACAAGATTAAACATTTGTACAACAGTTGTGTATATATATGTGGAAGCAATTTGTGGTGATGGCAAAACTGAGTATCATTCACCATCCACCTTAACAGGGAAGCTGAAAAATATGGGTCTCTTCTAGCACATAAGATGGACGTAAAAACCACTAAGACATGCACTGGAATTTTGATGGAGCGGCAGCAGCTCATACGGACCACATCTTCACTGGGCTGCAAGACTGCAAGGGCTCATTCATTTTAAACATAATTTTTTTTTTTTTTTTTTTACTGTGAGGGTGACTGTACACTGGTGCACATTGCCCAGGGAGGTGGTACAGTCTCCATCCTTGGAGATATTCAGAACCCCAAGGGACACAGTCCTGAACTCTAGCTGACCCTGCTTTGAGCAGGGGGGGTTAGACTATACAACCTTTCAAGGCAACAGATGTGCTCATCAACCTCAGCTATTCTATGACTCCCAAACAACTCTGGGTTGACCAGAAGTCTGAATGTATGACCGGCACAATGAAACTCCTTGGTGCTGCAATAATAATCTGTTTTATGGCATTCAGGTGCAGAGGTAAATGGTTATTACAATGCACTTAAGAGTTGGATCCATTTCACAAGCTGATAAAGTAATTCCTATCTATTTTTTGTTAAACCTTTTCAGAAGGAAAAGAGCAAATGCAAGTTTATTATTTATCGTTACTTCCTTTGCACTAGCCTATATTAGTTTTAATGAATTTATTGCTAGACAACTTAAATCCCAAATTAAGAACTTAAAAGCGGTTTTACAGAATTAGCATTTTTACAGAATAAAAGCCATCATTACGGATTTCTGTTTTGATTTAAATCCTCTACTATTTTTATAGCTTAAGTAGTACATAATGGCACAGCTATGTTAAGATCAAACTGGGATAGACATCACCAGGGTGTTCCACGTGCAGTACCCAGGAATCCAGCCTGCCGTCTTTTCCGCCTGGGCTCTGCAGAACCCGTAGTGCCGCCCTTAGGTGAGGCGAGGAAGGGCTAGTTCAATCCAGGGCTCCCTGGGTTTAGCTCTCACTAAACCCCCAGGAAGCAGCGGTGTTTCAAAAAGCTTATTAGTGTATCTCAGTGGTCAATAAAAGAAATGATATGATAGTGGATAAAGTTCTTATAATCTCATAGAAAACTCCCACGGTTCTCCACAAAACTCAAGACAACCGCTTTGTCATTTGTGCCTGTTTCTGTTAGAGTTTCTGAAAAGCCACTCTGAGGAGTCGGAGACAGCACCTGCAGGCAGGGAGATGGAAACCGAACACCAAAAGATCCCTCACCAGGCACACAGACCCAGACCAGTGACTCATTACAGTACTTTACTAAGTACCTGTCAGGTCTGTATCTCAACCTGCAGTGAAGCACTGGCTTGTTCCTGGCATTTATAATGACAAAAACTGTCTGTCTAAATTCTGGATGAGGATGAGAATACTCCTCCTTTGAAAAGGGTAACCCAAGAAAACTCTGTGTGTGCAGAGTGGTGACTACACAGGAGAAGGTGGCTCCCTCCCTGCACTTATGATATTATGGAAACCAGATAAATGCCATTCTAGCTGGTGCTGCAGTTTAATTTTCAATGGTCAAATTGCCCAAGTTCACTAAAGCTTTTTCTTATGGACTTTGCACTCAGGGAAGATACTATAGGAGGTCCTTACTGCTCTACTGTTGGTTGCAAGCTGGCGATGTGCTGGAGAAAGGAACGGCTAGTTCTGAGCACAGTATTAGGCAGACAAGGCTTAATCTATACTTGAGAGGGCTGCATAAAACATTGACCTCTCACATTTATGCAGCTACTTAATTTTCCAATCTAGGGCAGCGTGACTAAATTACATTTGCCTACTGGTTAGTTTGGGTAGCTGCAACTGCTCTGTCATTTTGGAAGTGCTCTCCTTACTCGGAGAAGAGGGTTGTATTTTACAAGCAGAACTTGGAAGCTCTCAAGCTGAGACAAGCCTGGCAGTTCGATCAGGAGCAAACAGAACACTTTATGTATCTTGGCATAAACAAACACTGCCCTTAGATGTTCCCTTTCAAAGCCAGACATGGGGGGGCGCAGACGGGGTTGTTGCAGAGTCTCTTTGAAACTCTCTACAGCACAGTATTTGGCATTGTGGCACTTAAAAATTTTACTTTCGGTTTCATAGTGGCAGTATTATAAAATAAATACATAATCTGCATATTTTAACAAAGTATATAAACAAATAGCCAGAAATTGTAAGAACTCACTAAATTTTGTTCTGTGTCTGTACTATGGATTAAATGTTTAGGCTCCGGTTTTCTTCACTGAAGACTCAAGCTAGCCAGCTGCTTCTGCTGTTGCTGGCCTCAGAGGTAACTCACCTAGTGACTGCAAAGATGACCTTTTTGTGGGTGCATGCGCTCTGCAAGCCTGCTTCATGCTCGCTGGCCAGGGAACATGCCGGGTCTTCCTCCTAGAGACCTGTGGGATTGCCACCCCAGGATGGCTGGTGAGAGGCTGAATTTCCACTGCTGTCTTTCACCAGAACTTCTCTGGGGAAGGACAGCTTTAACTTTGTGTTGGCGATTCATGGAACAGTGACCTGTAAAAGCTGCCTCAGAGTAGAGAGAAGTGTAAGTTTCTTGGGAAAGCAGTGGGCTGCCAGATTTATTTGCACCTCCCTCTCTAAATTAAATCAAACTCTGAGGGATAGGGAAGTGCATCAGGCAAAAGGACTGTTGTGGTTTAACCCCAGCCAGCAACTAAGCCCCACACAGCCACTCGCTCACTCCCCCCTGGTGGGATGGGGGAGAGAATCAGAAGGGTAAAAGTGAGAAAACCTGTGGGTTGAGATAAAGACAGTTTAATAGGTAAAGCAAAAGCTGCACACATATAAGCAAAGCAAAACAAGGAATTCATTCACTGCTTCCCATCGGCAGGCAGGTGTTCAGCCATCTCCAGGAAAGCAGGGATCCATCACGCGTAACGGTTACTTGGGAAGACAAACACCATCACTCTGAGCGTCCCCTGCTTCCTTCTTCTTCCCCCAGCTTCATATGCTGAGCATGATGTCACATGGTGTGGGATTTCCCTTTGGTCAGCTGGGGTCAGCTGTCCCGGCTGTGCCCCCTCCCAACTACTGTGCACCCCCAGCCTGCTCGCTGGTGGGGTGGGGTGAGAAACAGAAAAGGCCTTGACTCTGTGTCAGCACTGCTCAGCAATACCTAAAACATCCCCGTGTTATCAACGCTGTTGCCAGCACAAATCCAAAACACAGCCCCATCCTAGCTGTGTTAGCTAGTAGCTACTGTGAAAAAAATTAACTCTATCCCAGCCAAAACCAGCACAAGTAACTTCTTAATTAAGGGTGTCTGGGAAATTTTGCTGGCCTGATTCTCCCCTTTGTGAGACATGCAGCTGCCATTGCATCTCCACAGAGGAAAGGTTTAGTAAAGCTTTCAATATAGATATTGTAGAGGACTATGCTGATAGGAGCTTTAAGAAAAGTAGTTTATATCTAGTGCAGCAGATGATATTTACTTATTTTCTTGGTTTATAGCAAGAGGAGTTCAGATAATGTAAGTCTTTAGAAAGAATTAATCCTGATTTCAACACAAACTTTTAAATTGATTTCTCTTTTTTAATAATTGATATAACACAGCTAATTTTTAGTTAAGAATAATTTGTGAAATAATTCTGATCATATTAATCAAATGCTAGCTCCAAGTTAATGAAATACTTATGGCCTCTGGTGGGTTAGCATGGACTATAAAGTGTGCTAAATCAGCGACAAGGAAAGCTTGAAATAGCTTTTATGAGCTGGCTTGAGGGAAAGCTTGAAACAGTTTCTGTGAAATCGCTCGTATTTACCATTTAGTACTCATTTCACTAAAGCTATAGATTACATTTCCCCTTGTTAAGAATAAAAGAAATAAACACTGATTAATTTATGCAGCTAAAAGATCGGTGTGAGCATAAATCTCTTCTTTGAATAGAAATTCCTATTTTAATTATTGATAACAGCTCAACTTGCTCAAAAGGTAAGAATTTTAGCATTTGAAATTTATTCTGCTGCTTTCTCTCCGCACTCTTTGATGCGTAAGGAAAAGGGGCTACTCTGTGTTTCTTAGCACCAGCTCCCCTTTCTGATTCCCCCGCCCAAAGACATAGGCGGCAGTCTTTTTAAGGAAAACATAGCACGAGAAGGTGGTTAAATGGTTTTTGTACCCTACTAACAATCCTGCAAGGCTTTTCATACGCACACAGAATGACTAAAACGCCCACCAGGTTCCCAGCTCCATTTTGACCTCTATGAATGCGGCTGGTGCAGGCAGCAGCTTTTCCAGAGAGATGCCGCTGCCGCCGCTGCTCACTGACATGGCCATTAAACGTTAATGGGCCCGTGCAGGAAAGCCGAGCTATTTAAATCGTGAGGAGATTGGGCCAGTAGGATTTCAAACTGTGACACACAGAATATGGAGAAGCTGTAATAAGAGCTCGATTATCTCGGTGCAGGTCCCGCCTATGAGCAGGCTGATGAGCCGATACCGTGAGGTACCAGTCCCGTGTACAGTAACAGCTATGTACTTTTATCTCAGGCGCTCAGATGACGCAACAACGCCCCTAAAATAACTTTGCGTCATCCCTTTCCAGTTTTATTCCCCTGCAAGCGCACCGCCTCAGAAAGTTGTTCAGCAGCAGCCGCGGCCAGCGCCGCCCCGCACCGCGCGGGCCG